CCCCCCCCCCCCCCCAAAAAAAACAAACCCAAAAACCATGCTTTACTTTTAACTTGATGCGCTCCTGTTCTGAGCCCAGCACATGCCCAAAAGTGGCAGTGTGGTAATTCAGCCTGGCTCTGCAGTGTCTGTATAGATTGAGTGCTTTAGTGGAGCTTTTAGGCTGCTTTTATCTAATAGCTGATTAAATCAAAAGCCCTGCTGAAGCACCCACTCTACACTGATGCTGAAGAGCTGGGTTGAACTAATGCACAGCTGCTTTTGGTAAGGTGTGGGGTTTTTTGTTTGTTTGTTTCACATCTGCAAGCAGCCATAGCACATTCATTTTTTAAGTCCTTTCATATCCGAGAATATTTGAAAGGTCTTAATTTTTAAAAAATCCAGTTAGTCCTTCACCTTCTATTTGTCAATAGCCATTTCAGTGTAGTGTGTTTGTCCATTTCTTCTCTCTGTTCTCTCTTAGTAGTTGTCTTTTCAGAGTGTAGTGACTGCCACTTCTGGTAGGCTTTACAGGCTCTTCTTCAGTCCTAGAGAAGATTTTGACATTCCTCAGAAATTGCTTATAGGAATCTAATATTTCAGACTGCGCTTACTATATATTGAAATTCTATTGCCTCAGTGGTTCCAAGGCTCCATTCTTATATTCTCAAGGAACTCCTTTCTCTTTGGTGAGCTGGTCAGGGTGGCACATCTAGCTGAAGGTCTCCACTTTGAGACCTCAAAGCAGACCCTTAACTTAGAGACCACTTAACCTTTAGAAGCAAATGTCAAAGCTAATGAGCAAAAGGGCTAGCTGCAAAGTTTTTTGTTTTTTTTTTACATACAGGAGTGGAACCTGCTTTGCGAAGCATATTGTGAAACTTTTGTTGGGATGGGAAAGAGGCAGCAGGGATAAAAGTGGGTATATAAAGAGAAAGAGAAGGCAGTGGCACTGTTTTCTGGGCCATTCCCACATTCCAGTTCCCAAGAGACTTATTTTACCCTTTTCATGTAGCTACAGTGTCTGACCCCAAGCTTTTGTGCTAACTCTGTCCTCACAACCCCAAGCTTTGCATTTAAACCAAAATCCTGTTCCTCCTCAGCCCCTCCTACACAGTATGGGGTTGGGGGGGGGGGGGGG